GGAGCCAGGATAGAACTAGGGCTAAAGAAGGGAACAAAGTGGCTCCCGCCTGTAATGCCAGCACTCTGGGAGGCTGAGGCAGGTGGATTGCTTAAGCTCCGGAATTTGAGACGAGCCTGAGTAAGAGTGAGACCCTCCTCTCCAAAAACAGCCAGGTTTGTGGTGGGTGCCTGTTATCCCAGATACTAGGGAGGCTGAGACAAGAGAATCACTTGAGCCCAAGAATTTGAGGTTGCTGTGAGCACTGATGCCACAGCACTCTACAAAAAAGGGGGGGGGGAGGGACAAGGAAAGCAATGTCCAGCAGGGTATAAGCTCAGCCTAACACAGAAAAGATGAGGGATTGGGGCCTAGGACAAAGCAGAAGCAAACAAGGGAAGTAGGTGAGGGGGTGGGTAGGGATCCAGGATCCATTTAGAGCCTGACTCCTTTGGCCTAACATCAAAGCCCCTCACTGCTGGCCTAGGCTTTGGCTCTAGTCCCATCTCTCTTACCAGTCAACATACTCTCCTCTTTGTCCCAGAAATAATGAACAACTTGTAACTCCCCAGAGTGTCAACAGCACCAAAACCCAAGACAAATTAAAAGGAGTCCCTTAACACAGGGACCCTTTTCCCCTGATCCTAGGAGAAGCTAGGAACCCTTCACGGAGAGTTCAAGGCCTTGGGATCCTAACAAACTACTCATCACTCAGACTAGAGGCAGGCATGCTTGACACCACTGCTCCTGGAATCCCAATAAGGCACCCTCCCAGGGCCACATGTAAGATGCATACTCAGCCTTCCTTATCTATGAAGGCAACATCCATAAATTGAAAATACAATAGAACTGAGCAGTGCTTGTGGCTCAAAGGAGTAGGGATCCGGCCCCATATGCCGGAGGTGACAGGTTCAAACCTAGCCCTGGCCAAAAACTGCAAAAAAAAGAAAGAAAGAAAATACAATAGAACTTCTGTAAGTTGACCACCTAAGGGACTGTAACAAACTGGTCAACATAAGGAACTAGGTCTACTGTACTGATACATACCTGCGGTGCATGTCCAGTCTATGAAAATTAGGTCAACTTAAGGAGGTGATCAATGTAGGGAAGTGGTCAACTATGGTCAGTCTACTTTATTTGAATAAAAGTATTATAATAATAAAAACATAAGGCTCGGCGCCTGTGGCTCAAGCGGCTAAGGCGCCAGCCACATACACCTAAGGTGGCAGGTTCGAATCCCCAGCCTGGGCCCGCCAAACAACAATGATGGCTGCAACCAAAAAATGGCCGGGCGTTGTGGCGGGTGCCTGTAGTCCCAGCTACTTGGGAGGCTGAGGCAGGAGACTCGCTTGAGCCCAGGAGTTGGAGGTTGCTGTGAGTGTGATGCCATGGCACTCTACCCAGGGGGACAGCTCCGTCTCAAAAAAAAAAAAAAAACATAAATAGGCTGGGCGAAGTAACAGGGGCGCATGCCTGTAATCTTAGCACCCTGGGAGGCTGAGGTAGGTGGATAGCTTGAGCTCATAAGTTCAAGACCAAACTGAGCAAAAGTGAGACCCCATTTCTACTAAGATTAGAAAAAAATGAGACAAGAGGACTGCTTAAGTCCAAGAGTTGGAGGTTGCTGTGAGCTATGATGCCATGGCACTTTACCCAGGGTGACAGCTTGAGACTTTATCTCAAAATAATAATAATAAATAAAAATATAAATAAAAACAATGTAAGGGCTCAGCGCCTGTGGCTCAAGTGGCTAAGGCACCAGCCATGTACACCCAAGGTGGCGAGTTCAAATCCAGCTGGGGCCTGCCAAACAACGACAGCTGCAAGCAAAAAAACAGCTGGGCGTTGTGGCGGGTGCCTGTGGTCCCAGCTACTTGGGAGGCTGAGGCAAAAGACTTGCTTGAGCCCAGGAGTTGGAAGTTGCTGTGAGCTCTGATGCCACAGCACTTTACCCAGGAGGACAGCTTGAGGCTCTGTCTCAAAACAAACAAACAAACAAAAAAAAAAAAAAACAATGTAAGTATTTACATCACATTTACATTGGTTGAAGTATTATGAATACTCCAGAGATGATTTAAAGCATACGGAAGGACGTGCTTAGGTTATATGCAAATATTGTTATTTTTATATAAGGAACTTAGACATCTATAGATTTTGATATGTGGGGGTCCTGAAACCAATCCCCTGGGGATACTGAGGGACAACATATTACACTACACACACACACACACACACACACACACGCTACCAGAGATATATGTACTGGCTACTGGCTTAGTATTGCTACCTCCCAGACACTAGGAGAGATGTGGAAATTCCAACCCTGCTCAAAGATACCTACAACTTGCCTAACTAGAGACTCTCCAGCCCATTATCTAGCACCTGCTTCCAACTACTGCAAAAAACAGCAGGAAGATCTTTTCTGACAAAACGTGGCCTCATTCTAATTTTTAAATGCCATGCAGCCCTTTTAGGAGGGTCTAGTGTTAATTCCAATATCCTATGGTTCTCCTTTTTCTATTGAAATAGTTTGTACTTTGAGCAGCCCCTAATCCTTTTTGGAAGCGGATTCATTACTTTTTTTTTTAAAGCTAGTGGTACGTGTGAGGAGCTGACAGGGACACCTTTTAAACTAGATCGTATGGCACTGCACAAAGAGTCTCAGAGCAGTACAAAGTCGGCATGAGCGGGCACAGACGCAAATCCTCTACTCAGGCTCGGGAGTCCCTTATGCTCCGGGTGGCTTCACCCGCATAGGTAGGAAAATGAGGTCCCATAGATTGCACACACACAGCTGCGAGCAGAGCTTCGCGGGCACAGACAGAAAAGGGATGGCACCCGCTAACACAGCCGCGGACCCACGGTCGCAGGAACAGGTCCCTCCCGGCCGCCCTGCCGCGAGGACTCAGCATCCGAATCCCCTCCAGTGGCTCACCAAGGACAGGCGCATCCCGGGAATCCTCCAAATATCGCGGTATCTCGCTAGCCCCTCCTGTCGAGTCTGACTGGCGCGCAGCCTCACGAGGCACCTGAAAGGCTGCGTGATCGCGCGGCCTTCTGGGAGTTGTAGTACATCTGTCTTGCCTCCTGGGAGCTGTAGTCCACTGAGCCGGGGTTGGGGGACCAGAAGGGCAAATTCCGGAGAAACCTTGTATTTCTGGGATTCTGCCAGGAGGGCCTGGCCCGTCACACACATACTTCTCTTTGCTCCGAAGATTTAATATTTACCTCTTCTGTTTCAGATGCATAGGATACAGAGACAAATCAGACTTGTCCCTGCTTTTGAGACAAGCTGGGACACAGAAAATCACAGGATAAGGTCCACCATGAGGAAGCAGAGGGCACTAAGCAACTACTCCGGGCAGGAGGCCCTCTCAAAGTAGTCTCATTTGAGTGAGTCGTGAGGTGAGCCAGTAATTTAGCTAGATCTTAGAACATTCCAGTTGGAGGGCACAGCATTGGCAAAGAGAGAGCGGTGGAAGGGACAAGGGTATATTCCCTTCCCTTCTTCCTTCCCTGGTATTTCAGGCCCCCAGTAGCCTTTGTGTTCACTGAAGCTGCTCCACTGTCAGAACTGGGGTGGGGACTCCCTGCTCTACCCTCTAGCCCTTGCTGCAGGACCAAACCATCCCTCCCCCCTCTTGGGAGCTGATCCAACTAGTCCTTCTACAGCCATCTCTTGGACCTTCCTCCTCCTAAGGCCCAGGTGGCAATTTCAATGCCTGCTGCAGGCTGCTCTAGAAAAAGAGCCACACAGAGTTAGTTGCATGGATTTAGGCCCCAGGGAATGACAGGCTACAGACCCACCCATCTCCCCTACTATCATCCCCTTGCCCAGGGTGAGCTCCATGGAGACTCACATGAAGACACATGACACAGAACACACAGGGCAAATGTTCCCTTTATTATGGTTCATTCAGTTACCACAGACAGACACATTGGCTCAGGCAGGTCAACTGCCAGCTGGGGGATGGTCCGTCTCCCAGAAATGAGGAGGAACAGTGGGCACCAGGAGAATGCCAAAGCAGGTCACTGGCTGGCACCAGACCTGAGAAACCCCGGAACTGACCTGGACCCTCCTGGACCTACCCCAAGCCAGACCATTCAGAAGAGATGAATCTGTACCCAGTCTCCACGTCTCACACTGACTCTCTCCCTGGGAAAGTGCATAGATGCCTGGAGATGCAGCATCCCAAGGTTTGAACAAACTGGGCCATATACATGTAACAGGCTTTCCTGAGGGTAGAGTCAGGGTATGACCAAATAGGTCTGAGCCAGGAAAGAGGAGAGGCAGCTAGCACAGGAAATCAATTAGAGGTGATACCCAGTGGGTCACAGATGCTAGGCTGGACCATAGGCCTGTGGAGCTACCAGAGAGACTAAGGGAAAGGAAGCCAGAAGTCTGGGGTGGGGAAGAAGAAAGGGGAGGAAAGGCCTAGACCTAAGGTCTCTTTTCCAGTGCCAGGGACTGTGACAACTGCTTTCCAGAGAGAAAATGGGAGTGCAGAGAGGCAATTATACTTTGTGACCCAAGCCTAAGAGACCCTTAGGAAGAAAGGCCCCTGGCTCCCCTTGCAGGGAAAGGAACAAAGTACCTAGAGCTCAAAACTCAGTACCTGGAAGCCCAGGTGTTGGGTTCCAAGCCGGAGTCAACCCAGAGTAGCCAACTGAGATTTGGGGGGGTTGTCTAAATAGCCCAGCTATTCCTTCTACAGCCTCTGTTGGGAGAAGGGAAGGTGGGAAATGGGCAGTCCTGTTCCTTGAGTGAGAACCCACTCCCTGCCAGGCCTCAGATGGGACTGGAACCTCCACCAGCAATGCTCTCACACTGCTTGGAACAGAACAGCCCCTGATCCTGAAATAACTTTCCTGAAAAGGGAAGGAGATTCTGATAAGGTCAGGGAGTCTTCCTGATTTGGAGAGAAAAAAATAAATAAATCCAGAGAGCATCCCTTCCCACCCCACCTAAGCTGAAATCCTTTTTAGGCCATTGTGCTTACAGCTTAGACTGGGCCTGTGCTTCTTCCTGGGCACTGAGTTCAAATGCCCAGAAGTGCCCTGTGAACGACAGCAGGTAAAGTGGAAGAGGCATGCTTCCCTCCCACAGGGGCCCTCCTCCTCTGACCTCCCCTCCAGGCTTAGTGCTCTGAGCCCTGTCCCTTTACTATATCCAAACAGAAATATTGCTGCTGCTGCTGCTCCCAGGAATAAAATGATTGATCACTTGGAGAAACCTAGATGCCCCAAGGGGCTGAGGGCAATCATACCTCCCCTGAGGACTAATAATTACCCAAATGCACTTTGTTCCGGCACACAGGACAACTGCCTGACATGACCTAGTACCTCAGGGAAGGACGTGGAATCTGCCATCTACAAGGGCAGATGACACCTGGCACATGGTGGGGTCAAGGAAAGGGAATTGAGCCATAGCAGCTGGGGTATGGGGAGGAGGCAGAGGGCTCCAGGGGTCTCTGGGGAGAAGGGGAAGGCAGGAGAGAGAAGATCTTGCCTCCGCAGGCCAACCTCGCAGAGCCAAGAAGACCAACCCTGCGTTTCCATTCCCTGGGAGTCAAAGACCCAGGAGGGCTCTGCATCTCTAGCTATGTTCCCTTCCCACATTAGTACTAAGGCTCAGCTCCACTGTCAGCTCCCTGGATCTGGGAATTAGATCAGATTGAGGAATCCAGGCTCAGTCTCAGAAGCAGACACAGCTGGGATAATCAGCCTTAGGGAAAACAAAAGCCACATGGGAAAGAGAAAGACCCTGGGCAAGGGAAGATAGCACAGGGACTCTGACAGCAGGAAAGAGATGAGGAAGGCAGAGGATAAGGGAGGGGAGACTTGGCTGGATCAGAAGGAACATGGGAAGATCCCCGGCCTGTCCTCACTCTTCCACCCACCACCAGGAATGCTAAATACTATTGCTTCCCAGGAAGACCAAAAATGGAAACAGTATCAGCTCATGACCCTGGAAGGGGCCAGACTTTCTGCTATGCCTCCCCCTACCCCATGAGGTCCCTGGGCCAGGGTCAGAAGGGGCGGGTGGGGGACGGGTTTAGTTCTAAACATATATCTAGCACCACAACAAGAGACCTCAACTGCACACTATTTCACAAGGGGACACAGACAGTAACTACTGCACAGGACAGCTCCATGTACAGCCCACAGCTCTTGGAGTGCCAAGAGCAGAATCCAACAGGTGGGGAGCAGGGGACAGACATATACATATATACATATATAACTCTGATTCTTTGTACAAAGTTGGGGAGGAGAAAAGGGAAGGGGGAACCCTGCTTGGTCACCACAACAGATGATGTGGCTCGAGCCCCCTGTCCCAGTGGCCCCAGCCGTGCCTCCTGATAGGCATGGCTGGTTCACATCTCGTTGGAGTACGTGTAGTTGGGGGTGGCGGAATACTGAGTCTGAGGTTGATTCATGGCTCCCTGGGCCGCCCCCATGGCTGCATTCTGGGCTGCTTGCTGCACATGCGGGTTCTTCCATGCCCCCGTGGTCCATTCCTCCTGAGCTTTGCTGAAACTGCCTCCACTGCCCCGGTAAAATTTATGAACCTGTAGGAAGAGGAGCACAAAGAAGAATTAATCGAAGGGAAGAGGCAGCCCATCTAGGAACTAGATAGGATCATTTGTGAAAAAAATAGTCTTCCCTCTCCACCAGGTCTGTGTAGGAAAGTCCAGCAGGCAATTCCAGAGTGAGACCCTTGGAAGAAAGACCTCTGGATGCTCTTATAACTTGGAGGAGGAGTTGTTTCGGATCATAGCCACCTCCCAAAGCCACCCTCTCACCCTTGAGGGGACCACATACCATGCTGAGGGCAATGAAGGAAAAGACAGCCATAACCGTGAACATGACGGTGGGAATGAGCATCACCACTGCTGAGCCAATGTTCGTACTGAAGAAGGAGATGGTGGCGATCCAGCCGCTGTAGGAAGAGGCCAGCTGTGGGGCTGTGGGCAGGAAGAGGGGTGCCCCAGGAGCCACCCCGCTGGAGCAAGGGACTATCTTATTGCCACAGGGAGGAACCATACCACTGGATTCAGAGGGACCATCTTACCAACCCCAAATGGCCTGTGTCAGTCGCTCAGATATGCTCCTCAGATGCAAGGCTTCCATCTCCTGGTTTTACCAACAACGCTTGATACCCCTTAATCCCCTAGAAACAACTGACGGGTTCTCCTTCCCCTCTAATGCAAGAGCTGTGCTGCTACACTATGCTGAATCCTCTTACTCTTCCAATGACCAGTCATGCTGTGCCCCACAGCCTAGGAAGCTTAACACATGGAGGTAAGCACAAGACACACCCAAGTTACCACCCCTGCCAGCCATAAGCCAGACTCCTGCCTCTTACCAGACGCCCCAGCCTGGGATGCCCACGGCCTGGATGATGCTGATGACCATCTGGGCCATGAAGGTGAAGAAGAATGCCATGAAGCTGAACGAGCTGTCAGTCCTGAAGCAGAGGAGATGGCTCCCATCACCAGGGCAGATTGCTAGGGTCTCCTTGCCTTCAAAGCCCCCAAGCCCTTCCAAGTTTAAGTAAATGAAGAATGGATAGAAGACCCTTAAAGGCCTTGAGAGGCCAGAATGGGACAGTATTTATCTATAGATCTTTGCAAGGTTCCACATGTTAGGCTTGTGTGTGCAACATTACATAGGGAGGGATCTCCTCATAACTGGACCACCCACTGGACATGATGAGCCTACTTGCATACAAATAGATGGCTCCATTGTGGCAGGAATAATAGTCCCATTGTTGAGGGGATGGACAGCCACACTGGCATCAAGACAATTAGTATCACTGATACATAGATGGATGGCCCCATGGGTTCAGAGATGGAATCCCATTGCCACTAGACTAGACACCCTATTGGCACCAAAATAGGACCTAACTGACACTTAGCTGGGTGGCCCAAATGGCAAAGAGGTTTAAGGTCCCATTTGCATTGAGATGGATATTCAACAGGCACCAAGACTGATAGCCTTGTTGGTACATGGATGAATAATTGGCACAAAGATTGAAACCTCATTTGGCACTAGGTGGACACCCACTGGCACCAAGACAGCTAGTCCCACTGATACATGGCTGGGTGTCCCTTTGGCACAGAGTTGGATGACCTCATTGGCACATGGATAGATAGATCTTCTTGGCACCAAGTCAGCTAGCCCCATTAGTACAAGAATGGGCAGCTCCACCAAGACATGTGGTCAACATACAGCTTCCTGGGGAAGGTGATGGGAGAAGACAAAAACAGACCTATTCTCTCTGTGTTGCTCCCACCCAAGGGTAGAATGAGGAGGCAAGGAACTGAATGGAAGGTTCTAACTCTCAGCATTCTCAGACCTGGAGCCCCCAGGAAACCCATGCCCCATCTGGTAGTCTGAGCCAACAGTGAACAAAGGAAAGTGAGTTTGGGGGATGGGAAAAAAAAGTGAGTAAGCATGTAGAAGAGAGAGAGAGGAGAAGGGCAAAAAGACATGGTTAGGAACTGGGGTGAGTGCCAACCACTTACTTGAAGGCCTTGTAAATGGGCCGAAACCAGCAGACGTAGGAGCAGGGTGTGAACAGGATGAGCCAGAGAAAGGCGAGGCCAAAGTTGGTAGCTCCCCCGCCTCCGATCAGCCACGCGAGACAGCCCACCAGGTTCACGGCCAGCGTGACGCTGTTCACTGCAGGCCCAGGAGCACATACACACAGAGAAAGACCCCCGAGCCCACACAGAGGTACATGGGCACCCAGACATGAACACACACATTCATAACTCATCACAGACCCACAATCACAGAGAGATGAAAACACAGATATACATACACAAATGCAAGCCACATTTACAGATCCACACACATACAGAAGACCCACAATACATATTGGTGAATACATAGACAGAGACACATACAACACACACAGAAGAAGTACAGGCTGTAAGAAAAGAGAGCTGGGAGCTCTAACCAACCCCCACCCAGATCCCCCTCCTAAGGATCTGAGAAATCTGGAAAGCAAAGAGTCTTAAGAGCAGCAGAGCTTCTGCCCAGCAAGCCCTCTTTTAGGGCCCCAAAGCCTCAGGGTGGTAGAATGCTTTTCTTATAAAAATGGTCTCAGCTCGGCACCTGTGGCTCAAGTAGCTAAGGCGCCAGCCACATACACCTAAGGTGGTGGGTTTGAATCCAGCCCAGGCCCACCAAACAACAATGATGGCTGCAACCAAAAAATAGCCGGGCATTGTGGTGGGTGCCTGTTGTCCCAGCTACTTGGAAGGCAGAAGCAGGAGACTCGCTTGATCCCAGGAGTTGGAGATTGCTGTGAGCTGTGATGCCATAGAACTCTACCCAGGGGGACAGCCTGAGGCTCTGTCTCAAAAAAAAAAAAAAATGGTCTCAGCAGCTTAGCTCCCATAGCTCAATGGTTAGGGTGCCAGCCACATGCACTGGGGCTGGTGGGTTCGAACCCGGCCAGGGCCTGCTAAACAACAATGACAACAATAACAAACCCAGTATTGTAGTGGTCGCCGGTATTGTAGCGGTTGCCAGTAGTCCCAGCTACTTGGGAGGCTGAGGCAAGAGAATGGCTTAAGAGAATTGCTTAAGCCCAAGAGTCTGAGGTTGCTCTGAGCTGTGACTCCATAGCACTCTACCAAGGGTGACATAGTGAGACTCTGTCTCAAAAAAAAAAGAAAAAAAAACGGCCTCAGGCAGGGTACAGTAGCTCATGCCTATAATCCTGGCACTTTGGAAAACTGAGGCAGGATGATCACTTGAGGGCAGGAGGATCGCTTGATGCCAGGCAGGAGTTGGAGACGTAGTACACTATGATCCCCCATGTACAGCCACTGCACTCCAACCTGAGCAACACAGCAAGACTCTTCAAGCCCTTAGAACATCTACCCTTCATTTAAATGGGGCAGGTATGGGTGTCTGGGATCTGTCTTTATTTAATCTATTTCTTAGACAACTACATCATCTGCTTCAAGAAGCCTTCCTTCAATATTACAACCTTACCATCTCCCATCCCTCTGACTTTGCATAGACCTGGGCTGCTGTCCCAAATACCAAATCCCAGGCCATCAACCACACTGGAAATTTCCCAAGAGTGGGACTCAGGCTCCCCTTCCTATGTCCCCACATTATCTAGCTGCATCTAGGAATCACAGTTTCACTGAGACACAGCTGGCAGGGACTTCAAAGACTCATTTTACAGATAAGAAAACTGGTGCTGGCACTAACACACACCCAGGTCTCTTGATATCAGGGCACTCCCTTCTTTGAACACAAGGCTGAGTCTACAAAGACTGCTGAACAAACAAAAGAAGGCCAGTTCAATCTTGGCCTCAAACAGCCAGCATCTGTGATCCTGTCTTCTGAGTAGAACCCATAAGCATCTCGAGGTTTTATACACACTTCTTGGGAGTAAAGCAACTGGCGGGAACCTAGTGAGGACTTAGGGAGATATTTATAGATCTTAAATCCAGCTTCCAGATGAAATCTTCCCAGGAGCGGAATGCCTAGAGCACAGGGTCAGGCAGAGTCCTCCCCAAGTCTGGCCTGGCCTGGCAACCCTGTCACCTGTGCACGTACACCCATCTCAGGGCCCCTCATGATAAGGGTGGGCATTTCTTTTTGTGCACAAAAGAAATACCTATATTTCCTCCATCTCTGTTCACTGCCTCAAAATGTCTTAAGGTGTTATCACTGATTTTATTTGTTCTTTACATAGAAAAGGCACTAACCTGACATTCTCTCCCCAGTCCCACCTATCTCCAGCCCCCTTGTTCTAGTGCTCATGCTGAAATTTTTCCACTACCTATCTGGAATGGACACCCACTGACTCGGCACACTTTTCCAGCCATCAGCTTCTGTCTGTCTTCATTCCTCTCCTTGTCCAGCTTAGATTCCATAACTCATACACTCAATTTGTTAGTCCCTTCCCTACTCTGTCTTCTGGTCGCACTCACCCTCAGTAAAGATAACTCCCATCTGTACACGAGCTAGATGTTATTAAGACAAAAAGGAGCCTGGAAGGACTATAAATTCATGGCAGCCAACCTCCAAAGGGCCCTGTGCATGGCCCAGAAATCTCAGGGCCAGGTCTCTTTAGAGACAGTCCTCACCCTCTGTGCATAAACATGCTCTCATTCTGAGCCCACCCTCCCCAAAGCTTCCACCCCCACTCCTAACACATATGTAATGGAAAAAAATAGAAGCCATCAGAAGTAACCTTCCCAACATCTATAGACCTATCTATACCCTACCCCTTACTACCTACTGGCCCATCACCCTCTCTCAGACTGTATGATGAGAGATCCCTTCTCCATCCAAAGGCCAAGCCAGAACTTGAAATTGAGTCTGTTTGCTCTTCTCTTCTTCCTATCATGCCATGAAACACCTGCTTTACCACCTTCCGGGTACACACAGCCACAGCCCAGACAAGCAGCTAAGTGCAGGCCTGACTCAAGGCAACATCACACATGGCAGACCCTAACTGAGATCACATTGCCAATGTCTCAGGTTCCAGGGCTTCTTCCCAGCACAGGGGAGCTGGCCTGTCCTCCTCTCACATGCCTGAGAGGTACTTTCTGCCTAGCCTCAGCAAGGCCACATCCCATCCCTCCAAAATGAACACCTTTCCCACCAAGCTGCCATAGACTACAAAAAAGGGGGCATTTAAACTCTCGACCTCAAAACCTTACAACATTAGAACACTAGCATCTTAGAAGTGCAGGCCCAGGCTGGGCAGGGTGGCACACCTGTAATCCTAGCACTCTGGGAGGACGAGGCAGGTGGACTGCCTGAGCTCATAGGTTTGAGACCAGTCTGAGTCAAAGCGAGACTCTCATCTCTAAAAATAGCCGGGTGTTGTGATGGGTGCCTGTAGTCCCAGATACTCTGGAGGCTGAGGCAAGAGAATCGCTTGAGCCCAAGAGTTTGAGGTTGCTGTGAGCTGCGACATCACAGCACGGTACTGAGGTGACAAAGTGAAACTCTG